CCTAGTCCTACTATTCTCACTGTTAAATATGAAAAAATATTATGCATCAACACTTTCAATCCCCTTTACGATCTTAAACACCTCAATCCGATGACCCTCAAACTCTTCTTTTCTCAAGAGAAAATGATTTGAGAGATTTCAGCCTCTCCTCGTATAACAACCCCTCTATTCTAGTAACTCTTCTCTGTGACCAACAGATTGAGAATGCATGCTCTAGTGAGGGTCAGTTGCTTTTCTCAATTTTTTATTCTTAGTAAGATTTTTTTCTATTTGACTTGATGAAAAAGTAACCCAAAAAGAAGGGGTTTAGGCTGCACTGAACTAAGATCATTTTTATTCGTTTTGTCAAGTTTTTTTATATATTTAGTTAAATTGCCTCTGAATTATTTTTGAGTCTTTGTTCTTTGCTTTATTTATTTGACCTGGATACAACAACTGTCTAGCTTAACTTTCTTGGACTGTCTTCATTCCTTCCACCCATAAGTTCTATTTCTTGTTTTCATAATTATTTTAAGCTGTGAGACTCATGCTGTTTTGACTAATGTAGTGAATGTTTTTTTTAGTACTAAACTTATTTAAAAACATGAAAATATAATAAGATAATCATGCTTTTCAATTCTGAATTATATTTAAGTTAGAAGCATTTCGAGGTTTATGCTTAATTTTTAGCATAGTGTCTAAGCTTGAGGAGTAACTAGCAGCTGGGCCAATTAATTAAAACCAAATTAAGACACGAAAACCTCATTTTGGTGGCTACTAGTCATTTTTATTAAGAATCTTGTGTCATAATATGAAATGTGATATGCAGGTATATCATGTTTTCCACCTGCTTCTATTAATATAGGGATTTTAAACATTACTATGAAGTTTTGTTCTAGTTGCCTTTTTGCCTTTGTTTTTTTATAGCAGATAATACCTACTCTGCCTGATGGAATGTTGCAGTAATGTGTCATATCCATATTAAGATGGTCAATGACTGCAACATCCTTTACTAGCTGAATGGATGATGTCTATATGTTACAGCTGAGGAATGCTTTAAAAGAATGACCATTCAGTTGTGATGTTGTCATAAGAGGAAGAATATGAGGTTTCTTGCACTAACAGAACCTTTATTTTCTCTCTCATTTCTACTCTGTATTCACCGTGTTTAGGTCAACAGAGATTCATCTTGAGAGATAGAAAGCTGAAGTTCTTTCTTTATGCTCATTACTTAAAACTTGGTTGCATTTTGAAATTCAGATTACTCCACAAATTTCTTGTTCAGTTGTCATTATTAACTGGACCTATCTGATACTTGCAAAGAAATCAGTTTACCTGTGAATGTCACACTTGTGAACCTCAAAAATGTGCATCATACATGTAATAGAATAATCCCTAACCAGAACAGATAACTCACTAAAAAACAAGTCTAACAAATCAGAAATAGTTAACTACACAACAGAATGTAATGCTGTTATTAGTTTCTTACAACTGTAAAGGTTATCTGTTATCAGGATCAATCAAGAGAACAAAAGTGAATGTAATTTAGTGTGCATATGTTCCTTTTTTTTAAACGCACCACCCTCTTCTTTATCATCTGTAAAGTGGAATTGTACAAAACTGTTGTATTCATATTCTACCAGTAATAGTGGGGTTAGTATTTAAAACATGTTTAAGTAAATTTTACAGTTTTTTCATTGTCACACATTATCATTGTTGTCTTTTTGAATCAAGTAATTACCAGCATAATTTTTTAACAAATATTTTCTTAGGAGACCTGGTATCTTGGTGCTTGTAAATGATGCAGATTGGGAACTGTTGGTAAGACTTATTTATTTTGTTTATTGTAAGTGCTTTTTTTTTATTTCTCATAAACCTTGCAACATGTAATCACTAATTATCTGTTATTAATCAAATATGTAGCATTATATAGAGGTTTCTTGCCTAATGTTGTTGATAGAGCCATGAGAAAATTTGACAAAGCTATAAATAATAATCAAAAACTTAAGCTGAAATCAACATTTCATATATATAAAATAGGGAAATGTTATTTTTGCCATATGTCCCAGGTTTGTAAAGTCAAATTTTCCAAAAATTTATAAGACGAAAAAATGTTATTCTGGTTTATACACCATTGAATAAAATTAGTCAAATTTTAAATAAAACTATAGATTCACTTCATCTAATGGAGAAAATTAGTATTTATAAAACTGAATGAGGTTGTGTATACATTGGTCAAACTAGAAGAAATTTAAAATTGAGAATAAATGAAAATAGGAGAAATGTTTAAAACAAAAGTGACAATTCTGCACCAGCCGATCATGTAAATTATACTGGTCATGTCAGTCAGTGGGAAGAAGCTGTTATTTTGGCTCAACCAAATGAAATGTCTGTTAGAAATCTTAGAGAAACTATGGAAGTAATGAAACATATTAAAAATAATCATATCTTAAATAAGGATGAAGTCAGAAAATATTCAGATGTTGTGACTTTCTTTAAATTCACTATGTAAACTAAGGTATCACGTGACCATTACCTCTCCCTAAATATATTATATATGATTTGCACAGATTTTTTCACACTCCTGAGGATGACGTTATTAGATGTCGAAACATGTAGTGTGTCTGTTTTAAGGCCGTTTATCGGTCTTACAATAAACATTTTTAATTGTGTACTGAAAAATGTTGATTGTTTGAATATTATAAAAATATGAAATTAACACAAGAACCTTGAATTTTTAACCCTTTTAATATTATGAATCACTGTTGTTTCATATAAAAGTATTTATATCACAAGAAAGTATAAACATATTGGAAGTGACACAGAAGAAGTCAGGCTGGAATAAGCTTTCTCTTTATTAGCTATTTGGCCTCTGGAATGTTTGCTTGCTTGATTTTGATTTCCATCCGATTCAGGTTCGAGGACATCGTGGAGAAAGTCCAGAAAAGCAACATTTTTCTAAATACTTAATCTTTGTCTGTGATATACGTGTTTTCATTATTACTATTAACTAAGTCAGTGTAAAAACATTAATCAAATAACTGATACTAATTTTATTAAATTTTTACTGTAAAGATTTAGTAAACTGAATTGGTGTCTTGATCTCAAATGAATAGTAATGTTTGTTTATTTTTTATAGGGTGCATTAGAATATGAAGTGCAGCCAAATGATAGAATAATGTTTATTTCAACTTTGCATGGAGGATGAAAAACATTGATATCATATACCTGTAAAAAGAAATGCTTTTAATAGTGTTTATAAATAAATAAATAAATATATATATATATTTGCTGTTTGTAGAGAAAGAAGACTTTTGTTTGTAAAGTATATCATTTAGTGGTGGAGTGAAAAACTGAGGGGCGGGGACATTCTTACCAGAACATTGAGTCTTTTGATATACTGTCTTTGTAATCTGAATTGTTTAAGTTTAGGGGAAAAAAAACCATTAATCTAGGACAAATAAATATCAGTCACTTCTGATTTTGTTAACCTGCCTAATTTACATAAGCTGTATTAAAATAACACCATAGAACTGGGTGATTAGTGAAATTGGATAACCAATTAACTGATTAATTTATATTCAACTAATTGATTATTCCCACATGAAATGCAGAAAGTTTGAATAATTGAATAGAGTAATAATTGGAAACACTTATGTTGAATAGTTGTCTGATTAGTTGATTATTTTTGTGACATTAATTGTAATTTTGATTAATTTAATTTTTTACGTGATACAAATCGATGTAATTAATGCTTATAGGTAATTGAGTTAATTAACTGTCCTCTGCATTATCTAATTTAAAACTTTAAGAAATATGTTTTTCTTTGCCAAGTGATTCAGCATAAGATTGGTAATTTTTTTGCAAGACTGATATAAAAAATAATTGTTTTTAGTAGTATTTTATTGTTAGAAAGGTGCATATTGATTCACTTTCTTGTCTGGTATTGAGGCTCTTTAGAAGACTGTGACAAAAATTATGATGAAAATCTGTATTTAAACTAATTATTTGCCACTTTGCAACTAAGAAATCTACAACACCCAAATCCAGTTTTACAATAAAATATTGCTACGAGTACTTTTTCTTTTCAGCAACAAAGTTAATGAAATACTGATAGTTTTCTTCAATTTTTTAAAAGGTTTTGAAGTCATTAGTATGTTTTTAATTGTTAATTAAACTCTGCATTGAATTACATAAAGAACAATCATATTTACTGTGATCAAAGACATTTTAAATCTTTCGAGATTAAACATTAACACTGGGTTTGTAGTGCAACTGCTTTCATGTAATCGCAAGAATAAAAATGGAAAACTGATTTTGTTTGAATTCAAAATTCAATGATGATAAATTAATTATATAATTGGGTGTGTTTATATTGTACCTTCATTTTTTTCACAGGTAATTTGATGTAGATTTTATGAATAAATATAATTAGAAAAAGAAATGAGTGTCAGAAGACTTTTTTAATGCTTTAAAGCTTGTAGTGCACTTCTGTTATTTTGATTTCATTCTCATAGAAGTACAAGCTGAAATCCCTGTCAATTGATGAGGAATGTTTAAACTTAATTAAAACAATGTAAGTTTAACAGCAATCATATATTTCAAAGTAATAAGTTGAACATAAACTTTATTTCAAAATTTGTAAATTGTAACAAAGATTCATCATAAACAACATTTACAGTGTACTTTTCATCTACAAACAAATAAAGATTTTGAGATGATCCCACCCTTGAACACCCTACATCTCATGAGAAAAGCATGGTTGTTTGAGAAACAATCCAACAACTTTCATACTTTGACCTTGAATCCTTTTAGAATATTCCACATTGTCTGAAGCATCAACCTGCCAAGAATGTTTGAGATTGACTCAATAGGCTGGGAGTAATTAACCAACAGGCTTTACAAAATAGTGTTAAATTCAATTTTGATCCCCTTAGGACATTCCCCATGGTTCATACTGTTTACATACAAATTTCAGTTGAGATTGGCCTAATACGTTTGGAGGAGTTTGGGTGCAAACAAACACACATTCCATCTTTATATGTATAGATGACAATGAGGATCAGAAACATATTTTTTCTTTTTGCAGAAAATGATGAGATTCTTTTAAAGGAAATTCTAATTAAGTTTTGCTAAAATTAGGTTTTCAAACAACATATACATAATACAAACATAGCTGTCATTGAATATTTATATCATTCATATATATGACATGCTCTTATGAAAAACAAATAATAATTAAGATGGTGATTAGAGAAAAAAGGGTCTGGCATGGCCTGATGGTTAGGATATTCTACTCGCAACCTGCGGGTCACGATTTCAAATCCCGTCAGTAAATATACTTGTCCTTTTAGGCATGGAGGTATTATAATGTGAGGGTCAATCCCACTGTTTTTTTGAAAAAGGGGAATCTCAGAGTTGGCAGTTGGTGTTGACTAGCTTCATTCCCTCTGCTCTATTACTTTAAAATTAGAGATGGTTAGCACAGTTAACCCTTGAAGTATCTCCGAGTGAAATTCTGCAAGCAAAATATAGAAAGTGTATAACTGAAGCCACATCACCAGTATCCTGACCATTTCTTTTTTTTGCTATCTGTGAGGTGATGCTTCATCTTCAAGTTCTTCTGATTAGCATAAAATATCCATGTTTCATTGAAGGGTTCAAATGCCCCTTCCCCCTCATGATTCACAGAGACCCTAATGTACAAGTGAAGGTTATCCATTATTCCCAATTACCTCTTTTGTTTTCTACGGGGAACTTTAAATGCTGTAGTAATTAGAGTGTTTTGTATTGATTGTAGTTTATTTATGCGTTTGGGTGCTATTTTATCCATGGTGAGCATGCGTATTCAATGATAGGGCGTATGTATTTTTATGATATTGATTCAGTTAATCGTGTGAGGCAATCTATTGTTTGTCTGTATTTCCTTGATGCGTTTTGGATATCTGCTAATAAATTATTTGTTTCACAGAGATATAGAGGTCTGTTTGATATAATTTTCCCTATTAGCTTGCCAATACAGCTTTAAGGACTTAACAAAGCTAAAATCTGGGGGTTCAGTTTCCCGCGGGGGACACAGCAGATAGCACAATGTGACTTTGCTCTAAATTTAGTCTAAAACAAACAAACAAACAAAGAGACATATCGTACAAGAGACTCCAGGCTATGAACTATAATCGAGCTTTAAGTGGGATTCACGCTCACTCTGTGATCACAGTAGCTATTATCGAATGAATAATCTTGTTAATTTGATAAAAAAATAGAAATTGATTTTTATGATTTCGCACATTCAATTATAACCTCTTAAAGTGAATTTCATAATTATAACTTTACAATTTGTTTCTATCTTTAATAATCAGTCGCTATACTGTAAGTAATCTCATAAACTAACTTTTGTTAACTCGCATACATAATTCAAATCTCTTTACATCCGCTTTATAATCGTATAGTTTTTTATTTATATAGAGATCATATAAAAATAACTTGGATCCTCATAATGTAATTACAGTCCACGTCACCACATCCGCCCATGCTCTGTCTGACGACCGTGTGTGTTTTGACAATAGCCCTGCCGCGTAGTTTCCATTGCAAAAGGCTGAATAGTAAGGTTGTAAAGTCCAAATCACACCACTACTCCCTGCTTACTTTCCACAATCCATGTAGTGTACGAGGACGACGGTTTCCCAGCACCCATTTCAACAGTTCCATAGGCATGTCTTTGTATGGAATAACTTGAATACCCATTTCGCTGTTCAGCTGTTTGAGATATGTAACGGTTGAACGGAAGGTATGACTGGAAGCCTTATCTTGGTAAAAACATACTCTGCCATTAAATCAAAGGACATCTCCGTCTTGGAAATTGTAAATCTTTGCGATACAGCTGTATAAAGTGTATGATTATTTGGCATCGGAAAAAGCTGTTACAGACCCTTCCCACAAGCGATCAGTTTTCGGTGACATTACAGTACTTGTAATCCTTCTGGTTTCAAGGTAACATTTTTATAGAATTGTAAAATAAAATCAGTTTACTTGTATAGATGTTACCTTCTTTACAATCATATGTTACTAACAAAGAGTCAATAATATTTTTATTAATTAAATATGCCATAAGTTCGAACGTGAAAGATTTTAATTTCCAAACTTTTTATATGTTTTACTACTTTGAGAGAACAGCATTATTACACTTATAAATTGTGTTAGTCGTGCTTGAACGGTGCAACAGCGCATGACAACATCACCTGTATTCTCTTACACCAAACATAACTATTTGAAGGTTTTATGAAGAGAAATTAACCAAAAATATTTTAATTTGTTAGTATTGAAAGTAAACATTTAATAAATATAAAAAAACAAAGTATATTTCAATTATTTTAAGATTAAAATAATTCTCGAATTGAGATATTGATGTCGGCTCATAAGATGAGTGGTAAGTGTGAAAAGTGAGGGTTTTTAATTCGACATTATTCTTCCTTTAATTTGCAAGGTTCGATTCACAGTTTAAGACCAGTCTTAATATGTTTTAGTTTGAATCAATAAGTGTTACAAAAAGAAATTTTTGTCTATTATATCTTGTGTATTTAATTATTTTTCAAC